CCCCGCAGGCCTCCGCGTAGTCTCGGAGCAGTACGCGGGCCCAGGAGCCTGGGGGGAGGGAAGCGGGACAGACGCGGTGACGGCGGGCCGCTGCGGCCACCCACCCCGCCGCCTCCCGCCGCTACTCACCCAACCGCGCCCACACGCCGGGCTTCGCGGCCGCTGGGCCCCCGGGGTCTTCACGGTTTCGGGACCAAAATCTTTTCAGAGCGGCCGCCGCCATCCTCTTCCGGCTTAGCGTCCCTGTTCGACGAGAAACGCCGGGAATGAGAAGGAAAAGGCCCGGTGCGGGGGGGGGGGGGGGGGGGTCTCTCCTGCGGAAGCGTCAAGCGCGCCGGCAGTGGCTTCCCGTCGGAAGAGGATAGAAAACGGACCCGGTGCCGGATGTTGCTGTCCGGTCTGAGCGGGGCCGGCTGCGGCGGGTAGGCGGGCCGCGCAGGCGCAGAGAGTCTGGGCCACGCCGCCCGAGGGAGCCTCAGGTGAGGGGGGCGGGGTGCACCTGTGGGGCGGGGGCGGTGAGTTCAACACCCCCTCTCCCCCCCCCCCCCCGCGGCTCGGTGCCCTTAGCTGCCAGGCTGGGCTCGGTGCTGAGGGATAGACATCGGTGGGGTGAGGGAGGGCACCGCATTAATTGGGTTGGGGGCGGTGTCATTGGCTTCTGTCCTCAGAGCGGGATGCGGTGACGCCCCTGGGTGACCATGGCAGCGGCCGACGAGCTGGCCTTCCACGGTAAGTGCGGCCGCGACCTGGCCCGAGCTCCTACTCCCTCCGCCGGCCGGAACCTCCCACCCAGGATCTGATTGCCGTGTAATCTGAATCCCCAATCAGCTGTGAACCCTGACGCCGACCTGACACCCATTCCTGACTCGAACCCCGCTCCAACCCTGAACTCAGATCTCAAAGCAAAGCTTCTCTCCCAGACCTGACCCCATCCCAGCACCAGGCTTAAGTTGTAGGCGTGCGAGACCACACCTTCTAACTCCCGCCAAATTTAGGAAGCTGGGACCCTAGTTGGAGGGAAGGGTTAGGTGGCCCCGGCTGGGAGTCTTGGCCCCCAGATGAGCAATGGGCCAAACCAGACTGTCCTGAAGCCTAAAACCTGCCTGTGGCTCATATTCCTTCTCGACAGAGTTCGAGGAAGCCTCTAATCTGCTGGCCGAGACCCCAGATGCGGTCACTACCAGCGGAAGCGGTCAGCTGACCCCACAGGGGCACGTGGCTGTGGCTGTGGACTCAGGTGGTAGCTATGGAGCCGAGGAAGAGGTCGAAGAGAGCGACAAGACAGCGGTGAGTCACAAAAGTGCCCGTGCCCTGCCTCCGTCCAGCCCCGCCCCCACCCTCTGCCCAGGCTGTAAGGGCAGCCACTGAAAGCCTGTGCCGGGCAGCTCCTGCAGGAGAAGCAGCAGCCTGGATTCTGGACCTTTGGCTACTATCAGAGTTTCTTTGACGTGGACACGTGCCAGGTCAGGCCCTGGAAGCTGGCGGGATGGGGCTTGGAGTCATAATGGGGTCCAGTCACTGTTCACTGAGCCCTCCCTGTGCAGCCGAGTGCCGGTAATGCCTGGGTGGGAGGTCACGGGTCTCCCCCCACCCCAGGCTGGTAGATGTCACTGTGGTGCGGTGTAAGGATTATGGGGTGATTGGGCCTCCTGTGAACACACGCTCTGACGGGCTAGAGTAGGGCCCCTCGGAGGAAGTGAGGAATGGGCTTAAGGCCTCGAGGAGAAGGAAGACTGAACTGGGTAGAGTGATGGGAAGCCTGTGTCCTAGGCACAGGGAGCGGCAGATACAGAGGACCCAAGGTGAGGGAAGGCACGAACTGCCACAGGAGCTGTCACTTGGTCACTTGATCTGGCTGGAGAGGGTGAGAGGGGGACAGGCAGTCAGAAGCCAGATCACAAAGGGCTCGTGTGCTGTGCTGAATTTGGGTCTTATCCTGAGGGTGCTGGGAAGTCGAGGAAAGGTTTAGAGCAGGAGAGGAATGGGTGGAATCACCAGACCTGGTGCAGAGAAGATGGGTCAGAGGTGCCAGGGAGGGAGATGATAAGTCTGGGGTGCAGGGCAGGTCACAGAGCGGAGAGAGATGTAGGCAGGAGGAGGCCAAGAACTTGAGTGTCCCTGGGCTGGGAGGGCAGGCAGTGAGACAGGCAGTTGAGGGCAGCCAAGCTGAGAGAAGGGAGCAGCGGAGAGAAGGACGGCAGGCCCGGAAGGGTCCTTCAGCGTGGCAGCACACAGTGGGTACGGAGGCTGGCCAGGGGAAGGGGCTCCAGCCCATCCAGCCCCGGGGGAACATCTGAGCCCTTTCAGGCAGAGGGATGGGGAGTCGGCGAGGAAGGAGCCTCTAAGGGCTGGGCAGGAGCTTGGGGGGTAAGGGCCCCATGCAGGCTTCCATTCTGCACCTCACCTTGTCCCTAGGTCCTGGACCGAATCAAAGGCTCGCTGCTGCCCCGGCCTGGCCACAACTTTGTACGGCACCGTCTACGGAATCGGCCGGACCTGTACGGTGAGTGGTGGTGTGCATTCAGCTTGATTATTCCTTCAGCGTGGCTGGACTGAGTACCAGTCTCTGGAACGCAGCTGAGGGGAAGGCAGAGGTGCTCCCGGAGAGCGGGAAACACACATTCTGTGTGGGGAGACAGACCTGCAAAAGGCTCCCCAGGGCGGTGGGGCTCGGAAGAACAGTGGATGCTTTACAGCACGAACGTTGCTGTCTTGCGTGGGTTGGTCAGGGAAGGAAGGCCCCTGAGGAGGAGAGAATGGGCCTTGTTCGGGTTGGGGAGACCTAGGGGAAGAAGATTCCAGAAGGGAGCGTAAGGCCTGTGGTGGGAACATGCCTGAACTGCAGGGCAGCATTGTCCGCGGAGCAGAGTGAGCTGCGCGAGGTCTCGGAGGTGACAGGCTTCAGAGGCCGCGGGGAG